AATATATATAAAAAAAATTAGCTGGGCATGATGGCGCATGCCTGTAGTCCTAGCTACTTGGGAGGCTGAGGCAGGAGGATTGCTTGAGCCCAGGAGTCTGAGGTTGCTGTGAGCTAGGCTGATGCCACGGCACTCACTGTAGCCTGGGCAACAAAGCGACACTCCATCTCAAAAAAAAACAAACAAACAAAAAAAACAACTAGGTATGAGCAATAAAATTAGAAAAGATTGGGAATGAAATCCATAAAAATCCAAAAGGATTCTGTATCCCAAATGCTTCAAAAGGTCTAAGTTCTCCATCCATTTCAAAGAGGCTTACATGGAAACTATTGGTAAAGTTTATCCATAAAAGACAATACAGAACTCCAATCTAGGGACCAAAAAAAACACCAAGAAAAGGCTTTTAACCAACTTTTCAATTAACTACCAGTCCCAATCACACTGAATAAGAGAGCTCCTACAGTTCTCACATAAGTACATAATTAATAAAAGATGGTTTTTCACACTTGCTTTGAACAAGAGGCACAGTGCTTTTGTGAGTTAATGTGGTCAAATAGCAAGAAGCTAAACAAACAAATCACTGTAGTGTAGCTTACAGTTGATCAGTATTAAATGCCTGTTGCAAAGAGTCTAGTGGTTTGCAATCAAAGCTGTTCTCTTCAAAGAGGCTGTGAGTCTGTGTGTTTCAATAGATTCAGTAAGTATCTAGAAGAATCTAAATAAATCACTGAAGTTCACTGCACCTTGATTTGTCACTGCACCTTGATCTGGAAATCAATAAGTCTAGACTAGATAAGTCTCTGTGGTTATTTCATACTCCAAATTCTGTTCTAGACTTATTACATTCTAGCCACTTTAGTTATGTACAGGATTTTCTGTAAATTCCTTGAATAAAATTGGTGTGTAATCATATTTCTCTCTTTTGGTTTCCCATTAAAAGGGAGATACCCATATTTTAAATATTTCAAAAGCCAAATAACAAGGCCAAAGGAAAGAAGAGAAAAAGCACTGAAGATCAAAGAATAAGTTCAAATCTTGGCTGAAAGTTTCAGAATATTCCGCTTCTAATTCTGGAAGCTACATTCCTTCTCAACATTTCCTAGAAAGTGCAGGTTATGTGCTACTCGAGTAACTTCCATAAGCAAGAGAACATACCTGTTTTTCCACATACTGAATATACTTACAGGTTGTAATCTTAATGTAAAAATGAATACATTGATTCAACAATTCTATTTCCAGGTGTCTATCCCCCAAATACTCTGAACATTTGCCTAAAAAGAGATCTATAGGAAGGTTCATTGTCGCATAATTTCTAGTAGTCAAACACTGAAAAATGCTGGTCAGTAGGGGAATAATAAATAAAATGTAGTATACTCATAATGTGGAATACTGTACAGCAATTTTTATTAAAATAAAAACTTGACATATTTAATAAGGATGGATTGCCCATGAAAACATAATATTGAATGAAAAAAGTATACTGCAGAAAGACTTGTACAGTATGATACCATTTTGTGATTAAAGACTCCAGAACAGTACCACAATGTCATAATGTATATATACTATGCATACATATATATGTATATGTATGTATATCATCTTCATTCTGAGAAATTTGAATAAGTATACTAAAATATCATCATTATTGACTATAGTTTTCAAATGCATTTTAATTTAAAGTCTATGTTCCTAAAGAGAAAAGACCAAGCTGTCACAACAATTTCAGCAGCACCACAGGCAGTACCATGGACAGCACCACGGTCAGTCCCAAGAGACAAGAGTCCTGAGGTTTGCAGTGGTCTCCAAACTTTTTTGCACCAGGGACCGGTTTCATGGAAGACAATTTTCCACTGCCGGGGCTGGTGGCGGGGGGTGTGGGCAGTTCTTACTATAGGAGTATATCTTTGTTCACAGGAATACAAAATATTTCTAAATAAAGTATTAGACGTAAAAAGGAATGATTTCTGTAACTTAATTTCAAACGGTTCAGAAAAGAAGTGTATGCATGGAAACAGAAAGAGAGAATGATAAAGAAAATATGACAATTGGTGAATTGGGGTAAAGGTTGTATACAGAAATTCTCTTATTATGTTTTCAACCTTTCTCTAAATATGAATTTTTTTCTTCTAAATTTTCTTTTTTTTTGAGACAGAGTCTCACTTTGTTGCCCAGGCTAGAGTGAGTGCCATGGCGTCCTAGCTCACAGCAACCTCAATCTCCTGGGCTCAAGCGATCCTACTGTCTCAGCCTCCCGAGTAGCTGGGACTACAAGCATGTGCCACCATGCTCGGCTAATGTTTTGTGTATATATTTTTAGTTGGTCAATTAATTTCATTCTATTTTTAGTAGAGACGGGGTCTCGCTCTTGCTCAGGCTGGTTTCAAACTCTTGTCCTCAAGTGATCCGCCCATCTAGGCCTCCCAGAGTGCTAGGATTACAGGCGTGAGCCACTGCACCCAGCCTTTTTTCTAAGTTTTAAAGACAAGCCAAAAAAAAAAAAAGCTGGCTTAATTACACTTGTATTTTCTTTCCTTTCCCTATTGTTTCTTTCCTTTCCCTAAAGTTGACATAAAATTATGTGACTAAAGAAGATTCATGCTTCATTTTCCCAACTTTGCCATACTGCCTAAGAGACATGCCAGTGTTTGCTTATGAGCTATTTGGCTTATAATCCATAAGCAGCTTAGTCTTTTTTAACCCCTCAAAGTCATAAATTGCTTTCCTTGCCCTTTCTTAATAAACTATGATAACTTTATAACGCACTTCATTGAAAAAAAAGATAGGGACATACGTATCACAACTATTTCCTTCCTGTTCTCATAGACCTAACCTGTATTCTGAAAAGAATGAATGTTTAAGGTCTGACAACCAGTCACAGAAAATTGTACAAATCTCAATAGCTATGAGAAAATTACACAGAAAATCTACCTTGAGTGCCTAAAAAATATACTTACCTTCTATTTCTTGCCCAATAGAAAGTCCAGCCCATTTTCGCTATAAAATAGAGAAAAAAAGACACTTAAAATCAAATCATCAATATTAGGGAAAGAGGAATTTCTAGAAATTTCAGGAACACATTCAAAGACTAAATCACAGTATACTGTTATGTGCTGAATTGTGTCCCTCCAAAAAAATATTTTGAAGTCTTAGCCCCTGGTACCTCTGAATGTGACTGTTTTTAAAAATAGGGTCTTTGCAAATGCATTCAAGTTAAGGTTAATTAATTAATTAGGAATCCACTGAATTAATTTGGAATTGATTAGATTAGGGTGGGCCTTAAGCCAATGTGACTAGTACCCTTATAAGAAAAGACTGACAGACACATATGGACACCACCACATGACAACAGAGGCAGAGACTAACGTGATACATCTATTAATACAAGCCAAGGATATCAAGAATTGCCAGCAACACCAAAAGCTAAGCACAGAACAGATTCTTCCTAGAGCCTTTAGAGAGAGCATGGCCCTACTGACACCTTGATTTCAGACTTCTAGTCTCCAGAACTGTGAGAGGATAAATTTCTGTTGTTTTATGCCACCTAGTTTAAGGGTTTTTGTTACAGTAGCCCTAGGAAACTACTGCATATGCTATAGATTATATCTGAACATCTGTCCCCAAACATACAAAGCTTGCCTTCTTACAGTAAAGCTGGCACCACTCAGTAGGATGTTCCTTTGTACAATATGATGCTCCTAAAGGTCTTATATCAGATAATACCTCAGTGCTCTAAACCTACTTCTGCAGTTAGTTTTACTATTTGTTATAGTATCACAAAAAGTAAGACATTCAATTCATGAAAACTAGTTAAAAACCTGGTCAGATATTCTATATTGAAATCCAAGCAGGGAATCAAATGATTACATGACCAAGAGTACTCTGTGTACCAGCCAGAAGATTTTTAGACATTTATAGCTAGATTTGAGCCTCTTCCAAATCCTGTCTGGTTACAGTGGCAAGAATATACAGAGACAGACCACACTGTGGTTAGGCAGGAATGGGGGGCTGGCTTGCTAGATTCAAAATTAGTGATTACCAATAACACTCCAAAGAATAGTGAGAAAAATAATTTTTGGCTGAAAATCAATAGTTTGCCTACTCATCTGAGCATTGTGTATTTTGTGGTCGATAGTTTAGAAGATGCTCCATTGTGAATATGTGCAACAACTGTGCTCCCTTCCAACTTTCTAACCATAGGTCCCATCTTCCTCCTCTCTGCCCTTCACCTAACCTAGAAGACCTCTCTGTAAATTCCCATCCCATATGTAGACAACCTGAAATGTAGCAGCATGCTGGTTAAGCCCATCCACATTTAGGTTCTGGACTTCAATCCCAAAGAAAACCTCAGGGGATAATAACAATGTATCTATTTTATGAGGTTGTTTTGAGAATTGGATAACAGTGCCTGGACTATAGTGAATGTTGTGGGGAAAGAATTTTTATAAAACAGAGAGACAAGGAGCAATGGCCACACCTCAAGTTATTTCTGGCCACCAGAATCCTAAATGGGGCTCTATAAAAGCCAGTGAACCCTGGAATATCACAATCTTTTAATTCATAGAAACAGACAAATGTGAAAAGTGGTCCTGATAATAGAGAGGCATCAAACAGAGAAAAGAGTAGTGAGTAAAAATTTCCCACAATTTCTGAGAGCTTTAAGAGCTCTTACATAGTTCTTAAATGAGTGTTTGATCCCTTTCCCTAAATCTCCAAGTTGCCTTTACATTGTTCAGGACTGTGGGGTCAGCAGCCTGAGTAAGATGACAAAGGAGAAGAGAATGCAGATTATTATTTATAGTGCTCCTATATCATGTATTATGTTTCTATGACAGTGCTAAGCAATCTAATTCTATGAATTCCACAGAATCCACCAAGAATTATAACTGTAATCATAAGCCTTCTAGTTGAGGGGGGGGGCCCAGTGAGTTAGGTTATGATTTGAAGTTCTTTTCATATTCTTCAATATGACACCACTGCATTATAAAATCATGATTATTAGATGTCAATTTTACAAATAAAATATTTTATATATTTTCTGTTACCCTGAAAGTTAATATTAAAATAACTTGACACTCTGATAGCTGACTGATATTACTGCTGAATTGTTTTTAAAAAATAATCAAGGCAATAAAAGGTAGCCACAGTAAAAATTGACAATTAAGAATATGTCTTTAAATTCCTTGTATAACAACTGGATGTTTTTCTTCAATATGAATCTGTTATAGGGTGATGCTTGCTTAAAAGGAATTGACTCTTTTATGAATTTTAAGAATAGAAGAGGCTGGTCCCATGGTAGTGGGTTGTCAGAACTTATTAACATTAGTGTCACTAAAGTTTGTATTCAACCCCCCACTGCTAAATTTGACTGGCTTAAAAAAAAAAGGAGAAGAGAAGAGAATAAATTAACCTCTGAGTTACCTGAGGTAAGCTGAATGCAATGCTTCCTGGAACCACTGATGGATGAGTCCTCAGTGTGAATGTGTACCTGTGATTGGGAGAAGTCCTCACAACCACATGCCTATAAGACAGAAACATGGTCAGGATTCCATATCAAAGGAAATAAAGAACATAATTTTCAAATGTGTTTCTTTCCAAACTGATGTTTGATAAGTATCAGGTGGAAATATGACATTATATGAATCTTGAAGGAAAAGAACAATTTAGTTTCTAAAAACTGTCAGCGATTCAAAATGTTTTCCAGACATAAAGGAGCATCTTGGGCCAAACAAACACACAATAAGTAGAATCCAGCCAAGTTATCATGCTTCCAAAAAAAGGCTATTGGAAAGAAAAAAAATTAAAAATATAACAAAGTAGAATCCAGCCAAGTTCAACAGAGTTCATCCCAAATATCAACATCATTACATTTCTAGTTTATATAAAACTGAAGCTAGCGATTCGGAGTCCTTGATATCAAGCAAAAACTAGATGAATTTCCAATCCTGAAAATTATTGCACATCCTCATAGAATAAAGGTAGGAGAACCAAAGAAAGAAGAAGTAGGATATAGCAGTCAGAAAACCCCAAAAGTTAGCTTTTAGGACTATTCATTAAATCACTTTGCAGACTCTCTCAACAGGCTGAAACAATAACCACCTATAAAATGAAAAAGATGGCAAAATAAAAAATTTCCCCAAATAAATCAGCTTCCGTATAGATATCAATATTTACTATTTCAAATAATTTTGTTCTACTTCCCTGCTCAGAAATTACCCATAAATAAAATAGTCATCTCACGATAATCTCCTACACCAAATAACTAACAAGGACTATGCTTGAGATAGAAGTTTCATATTCCGTTATGCAACAGCACTTTTTTTTTTTTAAAGAGAGAGGGTCTCGCTACGTGTCCAGGCTGGCCTCGAACTCCTGAGCTCAAAAGATCCTCCTGCCTCAGCCTCCCGAGTAGCTGAGACTACAGGTGAGCACAATCGCACCCAGCTCACTATCTTTTTTAAAATTATCTTTGAGAGTGCTATAATTTTTAATGTTAATAGTTAATGTTGCTATACATATTACTTGCCACTAGAACACATGCTCCTCATATATACTATAGTTTAAGTAATCTCATGTGTACAATGAACATTTAACATATGCAAATGGAGTCCATAAACAAATTCTCACATTGATTATCTATACTTCAGTTAACTGTTGAAAGCTCTATGTTCAATTTAGCATCACAGAATGCTTAGCACTGGAAACAAAATTAATACAATGATGTAGTACAGACTCTTGCTGTGAAGCCCACAACCAGAGATGATTAGCAATTCTAATTCTGTGAAACTCAGGTTTTTACAAACAGCTTTAGAAAAAAAAGCATAGTTAAAATCCTGCCACCTTGTTTCTTATCATTGTCTTGGTATAGCCCCTTCATCTCCTTAGCTGCACAACCTCAGAAGCATAAGGATAGCACTGAACTTGTAGCAGGGTTTTTACAAGTTCTGGCAGTGGGTGATATGAATCAGTGAAATAAATTACAGTGAAAAATGCCTTTAAGGACTACACATTTGTTGTGCTTCTTCCAATTTTCATGTCTTTTGGGTTATTATAGTAATATGGATCATAGTAGCTAATACTTATTAAGGGCTTATTAACAGACAAGGCACTGTTCTAAGTGTTTTATTTATGTAACTTAATTTTCACAACTACTCTTGAGGAAGATATTATCATTATCTCCATTTTACAGATTAGGACATGGAGGCACAGAGATGGTAAATAACTTATCCATAGTCACCTAGATTGTAACTGACAGAGCCGGGATCCAAATTCTGTCAATCTAACTCCAGAGCCAAACACCTAATAACCATGCTATATATGATTCATATAACGAGTATATTTAGCTCTGCTAAGAAAATCAGTGAAAAATAAAAAGTTATATATAAAAAGCTGTATAGGATTTTAAAAACATTATACAGTACTTACCAAAGTTTGATAAAGTAATGATTGAAATACATAACTTTTTCTCATCTGCTCCATTTTCCAACTCAGGAAAAATAAAAAATTATTTTCAAAAGTTTCCTAAAAATGACTTTATGAAAGTTTCTAAAATACCACTTAGCAAGTTAAAGAAAACAAAGTCAGATACTCACTGGCCAGACTGGAAATCCTTTTCATTCACAACTGCACAGTTGGTTAGAGATAATTCATCTGTAGGACATCTTGCAGCTTGCATACTCTATAAGAATCAATGATTAGGAAAAGAAAATTAAGTCATGTTTTATTACCTTAAAAGAATATTTTATGCCTTCCTGTCTTCTATTCTTTATCACTATCACTGCTATGGTGAACATCTTTTGTTTTTAACTTCCAACATCTCTTCCTCTGTAGCAATAGCAAATCCTTCCTTTGGGAAACTGTTCCTTCCCCATTTTAGGTTGTTTTGTGGGACTGCCAATCACAGCACACATGCAACCATACATATTTGTCTCACTCATGGGATTTTATATTGTCAGGGTTGCATTTTGAGAGGTGTTGTCCTGGTTCTTTGGGTCCTTGCTTGGAAAAACTGCAAGCAAGGCCAGTGCAACAGAGTGATGACAAGACTCTTAGCACTTCTACTCAAGCAGCTTTGATCACAGGCTTCAAGCATACAAAGCAAAAGGACACCAGCAAACTGGTATTAGCTGAGTAGCACCTAAGTGGACACATAGGTACTACAGTAACAGGGTATTGGGGAGGGGGGAGGGGAGAGGGGGACGGGTATATACATACATAATGAGTGACATGTGCACCATCTGAGGGATGGTCATGCTGGAGAATCAGACTTGTGGGGGGAGGGGGGAAAGGGCATTTATTGAAACCTTAAAATCTGTACCCCCATAATATGCCGAAAAAAAAAAAAAAAAAAGCAAAAGGACATTTCCGTTTTAGAAGGGGAAAGAAGTCTGTCTCTGCGAGTAGAGAAGACCCTGGGGTCTTGGTCTTAACACATTTCTATTTTTATGTCTGCACCTTATGATATGCTAAATGTGGGCTGAATATTCATTATTTTTCTGGGAAAAGAGTGTTCTTGAAGCTAACGGTGCTCCCCAATTATATACTTATTGGGTAACTTCCAGGATTGCCAGGGCATTTGTAAACTGTCATGAGGCTGGTGGGTGTGATTTTTTTACTATGCTAATGTATGTTAATGGCAGGAAGGTTACCTTTGGTTATGAGCTCCTAGTTTCTGTACGTGTACCTGGCCTGGCAGGAAAAGTCCCTAACCTCAAATTCCTGCTGTTGTGGGTTTGATTCTACATGCTCATTGGCCTCCTCACATTCACACCCCTCCTCTTTTCCTATGGTTAGCACTGCTAACCTGCACCTGTCCCTAACAGTATCTACAAGCACTAGAAGGCACTCTTCCTTGCCACACCCACATGGAGGAAGACTTTCCACTCTTAGACAGTAAAACTGTCAGAGACACAGACAAACTAATAGATACCTGGAAACACAGATCTGGCAACCAAATTAAAGTCCTTGAGACCAATCCTGAATGTTGGTTATGAGCCAATAAATTCTTTTTTGCTCAAGTTTTTTGAAATTTGTTTTCTATCTCTCAAGAAAAGAATCTTGACTGATAAAAATACAATGAAGTAAATTTTATAATATATATTATGAAAAAGTATCTTTTTATTAGAGATCTCAAGTGGCTATGAACCATATCTCCTATAGATTGAGAAAAACCATCTTCTAAATATTGCTCAACAAAAATTATTATAGGGTACATTTAAAATAAAAAAATAACAATCAGCCTTTTTGGTCATTAGCTACCAGCAAAACATTTCTTCATATAATGTATTTAACCAATAACCCCTTCCATCATTCTCTAGGGCTTCCTAGTGAGCTAAGGCACTCACAGTCATTGTCCATTTATGACTAAAGTGCTCATTCTTCAAACCTCAAGCCAAAGCTGATTATTCTTAAATTTTTCTACCAAATATGAATTTACAGAGGAAAATTATTGCTTTTTGCTTTGCTTTTGTTTTAAAAGGCTAGTTTTGTCATTATCTCAGTTGTTTAGGACAGTAATCTCTAAAGTGGGATATGTGCACTTAAAGCATTTATAAAATAAATCCTTTGGTTTGTAAGAAGAAAATATTATTACTTCTATTTATATTTATTTTATACCAATTTTTATTAAAGATGAACCTCACCTTAAGTGTATATTCTGCCTTAAGATATAACCTAATGACACTAGCAAAGTCCTCATAATCTGCCAGACTTTTAAATATTCATAGCAAGAGATAAACTTCTATAATTTTTCCATTTATGTTTAAAATGATATGTTATTTAATCTAGTACTTCTCAAAAGTGTATGAAAGTAAGTGTCAAAACTGCTAAGGAGTCCATAAAAGACAAAAAGCCATGGAGCATAGTAAAAATGGCTGAAATGATACACAAAAAACAAAATTATGTCAAATATATTCTGTTATTAGAAATACAGTCAAGGCCGAGTGCGGTGGCTCATGCCTGTAATCCTAGCACTCTGGGAGGCCGAGGTGGGTCAAGTCAAGAGTTTGAAACCGGCCTGAGCAAGACCCCGTCTCTACTATAAATAGAAAGAAATTAATTGGCCAACTAATATATATAGAAAAAATTAGCCAGGCATGGTGGCGCATGCCTGTAGTCCCAGCTACTCGGGAGGCTGAGGCAGAAGGATTGCTTAGGCCCAAGAGTTTGAGGTTGCTGTGAGCTAGGCTGACGCCATGGCACTCACTCTAGCCTGGGCAACAAAGTGAGATTCTGTCTCAAAAAAAAAAGAGGCTGAGGCAGGAGGATTGCTTGAGCCCATGAGTTTGAGGTTGCAGTGAGTTATGATGACGCCACTGCAATTGAGCCTAGGCAACAGAGCAAGACTCTGTCTCAAAAAAAACCCCAACAAACAAACATACAGAGCCCACAAACAAACAAAAGTCAAGACCTTCACAATATAGAATCTTTTTATAGTCTGTAAAGAGACAGGAAGTAGCTATCCAACCTTTTTCTGGTTTTAAACCATATAGGGATTCACTGGTTACCACAAGGTAACTAGGTAAAAGATGTGTTAAACATAGATGAGTTACACAATTCTATTAGAAAAAGACTAGTGTTCCAAACTTGCTAAATATTTCTGAAGAGGTTGTAAGTAATATGCTACCAAGAAGATATTAAAAAACAAAAAACCTCACTCTGCTCCTATAATATGAAAATGTTTCAACAACATGTTAGAATCTGTTTTAGCTTTTCCAGAACAAAAAAACAAAAAGGAAAAAAGACCTGTTTTAATGAATAGAGCATTTCAAAATTGGGTATGTGAAAACATTTCCATTGCTAATTAATTCTACTGTTGGAAACAATATATATTATCTAAAAACAAACAAAAAACCCCAAAACTCATATCTGCATGCTTTAAAAAGTTAAAAACAGAATATTCTAACCTTTCAAAAAAATCATCCAAATAAAGATAGTGACTTTTTTAACCCATTTATTAGCACTATTAAAGTATGATACATTTGGTTTAATTTGCAAGGAAAACTAATAGACAGATGGAAATTTACTAGCCACATTTCAATAAAACATTTCCAAAAACAGTGGTTAAATTTGGGGAAAAAAAAGAATATCATGATTTCAAAAGTACAGCCAAATTCTCCCATTTTGGAAACAGCCCTCTCTGAACATCTGTATCACAAAATATTAACCCAAGATTTTAAAGAATAATGATATACCACTTTGCTTTCTGTATTAATAAAAATTATTATGAGAATATTATATACTTCATCTTTAACTTATCCTTTTTCTTTTTTGTATTTATGTTTTACCATATATAAACTATTAGTACTATTATCTATAAAATAACAGGGATATATATTGAGTGTACATAATCAAAATATTTTTTACTATGGGATTCATGATCAAATGTTTGGTAATCACATGAGATGAATAAAGTCTAGGGCACAAGTCTGCTTTCTGAATGCGACAGCATTTTGCCCAAGACACAACTTAACTAGCTATCTGACAAAAATGTACCAAACTTTTTTGGTTTCCTACCTTCCTATGGTCTCTTTCATGTGCAAGCTTCTTTTTTTGATATTCTCTCCCTCTTAACCCTGTCCCCTTTGCCTGGCCAACTCCTACTCATCTACAATTCTCAGTTTAGGTATTACTTTTCCTAGGAGGCCTTCCTGACACCTACCTCTCCCCACTAGACTGATAAACTTCAAACTTCAAATGGAAACAGCTGAGTACATTTTTATTGTCTGTCTCCATGTTTGCACTGCATATTAGACAAGAAGCTTCTCAAAGACTGAGACTATATCTTGCTCATATCTATAACTGCCAGGGCTAGTACAGGGCATACAGTGAGTATTCATTAAACACTTACTGAACACACAAACTTAAAGATCAATACAAATCAGTCTCAACTACAGAATAAACAATCCAAAAAACATATACACAAAGAACTGATCATCTCAAGGTTATTTAGGAAGTAATACAATTAAACTAAAATGACGTAATAGTTCAAAATTAAACAGAACTCATATAGCCAAAGTAATAAAAAATTTACAAAATGCTAAGTTAACCTTTTCATTTATAAACTTGTTTACTTGTTAAGTGTCCTTCAAAAAGAGTGGAGAAATCTGTAGAAGTCATCTGGCTGGCCAACTAAAACAGATGCTGTGAGCAAAAGGCTCCCTACTGGAATCTAGAAGCATCTGTGTTTTTATGATAAGCTAAGCAGGGTATCACATTTTTTTTTTTTTAACAAAGTACAAATCCCTATTAATAGTAGCTGTCTACTCGCTACAGTAATGCCAAGGGAAAATTCCACAATTTTTCTAACATCGACCTTGCCTCTAGGAAATAATAATAAAAGCCAACCACTAGGGTTATGCAGCTATTAAGAAATGAAAATACAAAATTTTATATAAGCTTAGTTGTCTGAGTTACCAGAACATTTAACTCTCTGAAGGCTGTAGAAATGTCTTCATTATAACAACCTGAAATGTCAAAAATTATAAACTTATTGCTACTCCAAAGAATGAAAATTTCAACTAACCTTTATGGAAAATTTAGTGGTATAATCATATAATTATTTATTTGAGAGCCTTTAAAGTGAAGAAAGAGAATTTACTTCTCTTCATTAAAAAATTGGGGGGATTTAATGAGGGGGAATTTTCATTGGGAGGATTTAATTTTAATTAATTTTAATAG